TCCTGCTGAGTTATGACCACATATTGTGGAGTCTGACATCACTTCCACTGTGCTTTTCTTAAAGTGGATGGAGATCTCTGGACTGGGTCACTGTGACTTCGACAGGCCGGGTGAGATTCACATCAAGTGGCAAAATAAACAGAGAAATTTTAATGTCGGTTCTCTAAGCCCCTATTGTTCCCTAAAATCCCACATCCTCTGTGATAATGATATGAATTTTAGGTTTAGTCCATCTGTTCCCTATTGTTCCAGCTGACAGGATTGTGTTGTTCTTTTTTTTTTAATTGGAGGGCAGTGAGCCGTGTCTCAGCTAAACTGACAGCTCATGTTTTGCGAGCATCCTTTTAGAGCTGACCTGCTTCCATGTGTTTTTGTTTCCCCAGATTTATTCACCCCCACTAACACTAGCACACACCCTCTCATTAGTTTGTATGACCTACTGTAGACATCCTAGTGTTGGAGTGCAGATGATAATATACTATCTAAGGATTTTACTAGATTCTATCCTCTCACTCTGTCTTTATATCTGTGCCCATGTCCCTTTGTTTCACCAGAGTGTTCATCAAAAACATGTTTGTTGCACAGAAAGACTATTCAGACATTAAAGCCTATTTGCTTTGCATAGTGATACATGGTAGATGTTGGTGAGGATTAAAAAATCCTAACCATCTGATGTCTTTTCACTCTAAGCGTGCCCACCAGGGTGCCGGTATGCTGTCGGAGGATTGTCCCAGTGGGTCACCAATTTAATTACTGTTCAGGCAGCATGAAAGCAGAAAAATAATACCTAACCATTTTATTCCAAGCATATTTGTGTGTGTAATTAACAATCTCAATGTTCAATACTAGATATTCATAATGACTTGTACTCTGCATGAGTGCTTCCCATTTTTCATCTGTTTTTTCTTTTTCTAACAACATTAGGAAAAGTAATGTTTATAATCCAAATCCTGTTCAACCCAGATCCTGGAGGCCTGATGCAGGCATTGGAGGAGCTGGACTACTTGGCAGCTCTGGATAATGATGGCGGCCTGTCCGAGATGGGCATCATCATGTCTGAGTTCCCCTTGGAGCCACAGATGGCCAAGACTTTGCTTGCATCCTGTGAGTTTGACTGTGTCAGCGAAGTGGTCATCAGTCCTGTCATGCTAACAGGTAACATGTACTGGGTCAAAAAAAAAAAAGATACACAAGACCATTTTACATGTTCTGTTTTGTAATTTACCAGATAAACAGTAGATTCTAAACATCACATTTGTCTGGTGGATATTTTAGCACCACCTTGCTTCATGGTTCCCTCTGAGGACCTGAAGCCAGAGGTGACCCAGTGCCACATCAGGTTCCAGCACCCAGATGGAGACCACTTCACTCTTATCAATATCTACAAAGCCTTCAAACAGCGCCAGCAGGATCCATGTGAATTGAGAGAGGATCACCTATAGGAAAAACTGAAACATGCACAGAGATGTTATAGGTCTCAGTGAATGAAGAAAAATCCTTGTAAATGTTATCGTATATCCAAGTATACAGTAGGTATAGAGAGAGGTGAATAACGGATTCTGGCTTCCTATATCCCTATTTAACTACTCTGTCCTCTTTGCTTGTTAGACTGTAATGTGGAGAAGTGGTGTCAGGATTTCTACCTGAACTA